GCTGAACCCCAAGTGCCCCGAGAAGGTGGAGGGACGCTTTTCCACAGCTCCTCTGGTGGACCTCAGCTTGTCACCGCCATCGGGGCCGGATTCACCCAATGGCAGCAGCTCACTGTCCCCCGAGTGCCAGGGGAATGGAGACCTGCCTCCAGTGCCCACTGCCCCGGTGAGGAAGGGGGGGTTCTACAGAGGAAGGGACTACCGGCCTCCCAGGCTGCCTGATGACCAAGGCCGTGGGAAGAACCCTCCTGTCCCCTGTCTCTGCTGGCTTCTATGGCTTCCAGTCTCTGGCCTTCCTGGCCTGGGAGCCACATCACTGCAGTTTCTCGACTCGGTCCCCAACCCAGAGTGACCTCACCCTAACGTGACCGCGTCAAAGGCCTGGTTCCAGATAGGCCACATGCACAGATACGGGTGGGGATATAGGACCTGAGAGTATCTTTTGGGGCTACTATTCAACTCTCTGGAGAAGGGGACAGGGGGTCTGGGCCTACTGGCCCATAAGGCCACCAACTAGCTCTCTCCCTCACCCGCTCCCCCTAGGACTTCCAGCCACTGCGCTACCTTGATGGCGTCCCTGGCTCCTTCCAGTTCTTCCTGCCCCTGGGCTCTGGGGGTGCCCTGCACCTGCCTGCTTCCTCCTTCCTTACTCCCCCCAAGGACAAGTGCCTCTCGCCAGAGCTGCCCCTGCCCAAGCAGCTGGTGTGTCGCTGGGCCAAGGTGAGTGGGCCAGGAGGAGTGGCGTGGGCTGGGGACAGACACCCACTGGGACTCACAGCCCACTCTGGCCCACAGTGTAACCAGCTCTTTGAGCTCCTGCAAGACCTGGTGGACCACGTCAATGACTACCATGTCAAGCCCGAGAAGGACGCGGGGTACTGCTGCCACTGGGAGGGTTGTGCCCGCCACGGCCGCGGCTTCAACGCCAGGTGAGGGGTGAGTGGTGGTGGGGGGGAGGTCTTGAGCCCGCAGCCAGCTGAGCCACCCCGCTGCCCGGAGCAGGTACAAGATGCTCATCCACATCCGCACACACACCAATGAGAAGCCGCACCGCTGCCCCACCTGCAACAAGAGCTTCTCCCGCCTGGAGAACCTGAAGATCCACAACCGGTCCCACACAGGTGAGTGGCTGTACCCGCAGGGCAGGTGGGCACCCGCATAAGAGATGAGGGAGAAAGCTCATTGTCTTGTGGTCCCTTTTTCTTTTATTTTTTTAAGAATTATTTTAGGGGCTAGAAGGTGGCATGGTAGTTAAGGGCGCTGGACTTCTGCATGGCCGACCATAGTTCAAGTCCTAGACCTGGCAGCTTGATTTTTCACTTTCCCTCTCTCTCATTCTGTCACTTTCTGGTCAAATTTAAATAAATAAATAAATAAAAATTATCTTAAAAAAAAAAAAATTTAAGACAGAAAGCTGCTAGGTCCAGGACTGGAACCGTGGTTGGCCATGTGGGAGTCCAGCATCCTTAACAACATGCCACTTGCCGGCCCCATGTTCACTTTTTCAAACGTGAGGAGGCACCTCTCCTGCAGGCTGGACTCCTGATGGAAGCTCTCAAAGCACACGTTGTCTTCCTGTGTTCCCTGTGTGGTCTCGTCTGCCTGCTGGCTCTGACGGCAAAGCCCACATCTGCTTGACTCCTCACTGTACCCCAGCCCACAGTGGGGCTCTGGTAAAGCCACAGCCCTCATTTTAAATTTCCTAATCGCCGTATAAAAAGAGCAAAAACAGAGCCAACAGGTGGTATGAATCCCACATGGCCACCTTTGTAGTTCCAAGTCTGGGGCCCAGTGGCTTGAGAATCAAGTCGGGCCCATGTGCATGTGTGCCCCGAATCCTGAGAATGGAGGAGAAAGAATTTTGCTGTGGCCACTCTCCCCCACCCCCAAATGGTTTCTCACTTTTCCTCTCTCTCCCCACCCCTGCTGCTTCCACTAGCACATGTACCCCACAGCAAAAACTAAAAAATAAAAACACTTTTAGGGACCAGCAGATGGTGTAATGGCTATGTTGCTGGACTCCCATGTAGACGACCACGGTTCAAGTCCCGGACCCAGTGGCTTAAACTCACGCCAAGCACATATGCACGCGTGCCCAAGATCCCAAGAGGAGAATGGAGGAGAAGGGATTGTGGTGTGGCCATCCCCCCGGGGGGTGATTTGTTGCTTTCTGTCTTTGTCTATCTCTCTCTCTCTCTCTGGCGAGCACATGCGCCTTTGGCGAGCACACGCGCCTTATTGCAGAAACCTCTCTAACAAACAAACAAAAAACAGCCAGGCGCCTTATCTAGTTCCGTAATCTCCAAGGGTGTGGGGTAACAGGCCCCTAAGGACACCCAGCTGGGCCCTGGCTCAGCCGAAGTGGACCCAGGCTAGGCAGGAGTCAGATCTTGTGCCCCACCCTGAAATTGGAGCACATGCTCTTAGGAAGTTCTCACGGGGCGGGGGGGGGGGGGGGGGGTCCCTATGAGGGCTGCAACAAGCGTTACTCCAACTCGAGCGACCGGTTCAAGCACACACGCACCCACTACGTGGACAAGCCCTACTACTGCAAGATGCCCGGCTGCCACAAGCGCTACACCGACCCCAGCTCGCTGCGCAAGCACATCAAGGCCCACGGCCACTTCGTGTCCCACGAGCAGCAGGAGCTCCTGCAGCTGCGCCCACCCCCCCA